AACAGCGATGAAGGAGGGAGGCCCTCGGGTTCTGGGCGCTGATTCCCGCTTCCGGGGGGTGCGAGGGCTCCGGGCTGCCGGCGGCACCAACATGGCTGCCGCGGGGAGAAGGTCGGGCGGGCCGCACGTGTATGATGACACCTCGGTAATGCTGCAGACTCCCGAGTACGCGGTGGGGAAGCCTACCTTGGAGAGCTGAGCGTGCGGCCCGCCCGGCGCGGGGTCTGGTGCTGGCCAGCCATCCCGTGTCCCAATGGCTTAAGCTTCCGTCTCTGCTCCCACATACAGGTATCTCTCGGGACAACTGGCACAAACGCCGCAAAACCGGGGGCAAGAGAAAGCCCTACCACAAAAAGCGGAAGTATGAGCTGGGACGGCCCGCTGCCAACACTAAGGTGGGTGCATGCGCCGGCCTCGCTGCCCGGAGGCTGTCCTCCCCCCCCTCCAGCGTCGTCGGATCTCTACGTGTGCCTGTTGTGGGTCTTTTCTTGGGCTCTGTGCTTTCTTTGTATGGGGGCCTGGGCAGCCTCCCTACCTTTACGTGTTGGGTGAATGCTGAAGAGATAGCTGAGTCTCTGCCCTCATTCCTCTCCAGAGTTTAGGGTCTAAACGGAGACAGGTGCTGTACGCTAGGACTTGAAGGGTTCCTGGAGGAGTGGGCTCTTCTCTGGAAACTCAGAAGCCTGGTATTTTTGTTGCATAGAGATTTAATTTTCAGGTCAGGTTTTTCCTCTCGGAGGTAGCTAGAGTGATGAAAAAGTATCCTTAGGCGTGGTCGTGGCCGTCTTGGTCACTTGTGTGCCACTTGCCAATGCAAGGACTTGTCATAGTTACACTGACTGTGTTGCCTCCATCCAACCCAGGTTCCCCTCCCTCTCTTGTCTTTCTCTCCCTTATAATGCAATTTCTGTCTTCTCGTGTTTTCCAGATTGGCCCCCGCCGCATACACACGGTCCGTGTGCGAGGAGGCAACAAGAAGTATCGTGCCCTGAGGCTGGACGTGGGGAACTTCTCCTGGGGCTCTGAGTGTAAGTGAGGCCCTTCAGGAATGGGTGGGAACTTGGCACCTAAACCTTTCTAAGCTTCCATAAGTGCTTTTAGCAGGAAGTCTGTGGCCTAGACCAAGGTACTTGAAGTTTCTCCTTGCTGAAAGNCTCAGTTCCCTTGCCTCTCCTTAAGGCCCCACTAGGGCAGAAGGACCTGGGGAAGTACAGCAAGCCTAGCTGGCCTCTGGTTTACATTATTTGATTGTGAATTTCTCCCATGAGCAGGTTGTACTAGGAGAACAAGGATTATCGATGTTGTCTACAATGCGTCCAATAATGAGCTGGTCCGCACCAAGACCTTGGTGAAGAACTGCATTGTGCTCATTGACAGCACACCGTACCGACAGTGGTACGAGTCCCACTATGCACTGCCCCTAGGCCGCAAGAAGTGGGCCAAGCTGGTGCGTGGTACTTCCCTGTATGGGTTGGGGGGAGGGCAGCCTGACTCCAGCCTTCTTGTGATGAAAACTCTGTCCAGTTCTGCTGCTGAAGGGAGAGATGAAAGCCTGTAGTGCTGAGGAGGGCAGGCGTTGGAGTATGCAGGGTTTAAGAAGGTTCTAATGATCTTCCTTCCCTGAGCTAATACATCTGTATCCCCTTTATTCAGACACCTGAGGAGGAAGAGATTTTAAACAAAAAA